TTGCTGTACTTCTACTTCGTGATACACCAACTACGAAAGTACTTCTGCATCCCAAGAAGCACTGTACCAAGTCGTGAAGTTTGTCTGGATCGAAGGGGCGGTTGGTACGAGTACAAATCGATCCGGTTCGTTTTGAATCGATCGAGCCGGGGCAGATCAAGCCAAGCCAAGCCAAGCGAACTCGAGCCGAGCCGAGACGAGCCGTGGTGCCCTATACAGCACCGCACCGCGGAACGCCAAGCCAAGCCAAGCCAAGCCACGCCACGCCACGGAACCCAGCCAACGGAACCCAGCCAATCGCACCGCACCACACCGCACCGAGCCATGCCGGTCGGGAAGGAGGGCCGGGGAAGAAAGCGCGACCGCCGCTCGCCGCAGAGGGACCRCGATGCGGGGGACGGGAGGGGCCGCTCGCCTTCCCCCCACCGYGTCCTTCGCCGCCGGAGGGACCRGGCGACCCCCCCGTCGTCCCCGTCCACCGCGGACCGGAGGCGAGACCGGGAACGCCGGCGGCGAAGGACCCGGTCTGCCAACCGCCGAAGAAACGGCGGCGACGGGCATCGCCGCCGCCATCCGAGGCACGGCCACAAAAGCGACAACAGCGACGACGACGACGACGACGACGATGCAAGGGGCCACCGCCGGCACGACCGCGAGCGCCGAACGCACCACCACCACGGTGGTCGCCGAAGGGACAGGGGTCCGTACCGGAGGCACCACAGCAGCCGCAGCGGGAACCGAGAACGAGAACGAGAACGAGAACGGGAACGAGAACGAGAACGGGAACGGGAACGGGAACGGGAACGAGAACGAGAACGAAAACGAGAGCGAGAGCGAGAGACACCGCGGCAGAGATCCCCGTCCCCCAGCGAGCCGTTTCGTTCCCCGTCTTGCCACAGCGACGTTCCTCCGGGCCGGAGGCGGTCTTCCCACCGGCCGCGGGGGAGAAGCCGCCGCGGCTCGCGCCGGCGCAGCGGCGGCGACGATGCCTCCCACCACCACGGGACGGCTCGGRGCGAACGGGAGGGCCACGGCTCCGGGGGGGTTCCACCACGCGTGTACCACCGGCATCCCTCCGGGGACGGCACCGCCGGGGAGGGCCGGGCCGTGCGGCACGCCGGTGTCGTGAGCGACGACGAGGACGGGTGCCACCCCCACGCAAGGGACRCCCCGGCGAGGGACGGTGCTGCCCYGGGCACCCACCACGCCGCTGCTTCCAAACACCACCACAAGAAACACGACGACACCACCGGCCACTTCGAGGGCCGGGACGGGTGCGTCGTTGCCGATCGGTACCGCATCCTGAGGGAGGTCGGTGTCGGAACCTTCGGACGGGTGGTGGAGTGCCTCGACACGAAGCGCCGGAGGGGAACCAGGCGGGGMCGGGGGGACGGCGACCGGGGCTGCCGCCCGCGGCAGCACTGCGGGGGCGGCTACTCCTGCAACAGCGATCGCGATCGCGACGAAAGCCCGGGCACCATCGTGGCCATCAAGATCGTTCGGAACATCCAGCGGTACTACGACTCGGCGAAGATCGAGGCGGACATCGTCGAGGACGTCAACCGGAAGGGGAAGCGGGGGGTCACGCACTGCGCCGTCCTGTACGACACCTTTTCCTTCCGGGGGCACTACTGCATGGTCTTTGAGTCCCTCGGGCCGTCCCTCTACGACTTTCTGAAGGGCCAAAACTACCACCCCTTTCCCATCCACTGCGTCTTTGACTTTGCGAGGCAGCTCCTGGAGACGCTCGAGTTCCTGCACTCGTTTCGGTTGATCCACACCGATCTAAAGGTGGGTGCGGTGCACGGCCAGCGCAGCGCAGCGTTGGTGTTGCGGTTGCGGTTGTTCCTTGTTGCTTGTGTTTGTCCTTGCTTCGTTCGGGCGATGGTGATTTCCCAATGGTGTTGTGCATCGATGGGATGCGACGCTATGGATGTTGCACTTGCTTGTTCACCGGTTTGTTCTTGACTCGACACGGCATTTTAACTGACCGACAAACCTTGCACGTATTCTCTCTCTCTTTTCTACTCAAACTTTGCTCACCAAAGCCGGAAAACATTTTGTTGGTCGACGGAAGAACCATCTCCCAGAGGGGAGGGCACAGCATTCCCCAGAGCACCCGGATCAAGGTCATCGACTTTGGAGGAGCCACCTACGACGACGAGAAGAAGGGTTCCATCGTCAACACCCGCCAGTACCGGGCCCCCGAGGTCATTCTGGGSGTCGGCTGGAGCATGCCGTCGGACCTGTGGTCCATCGGCTGCATCCTGGCCGAGCTCTACCAGGGCGAGCTCCTCTTTGCCACRCACGACAACACCGAGCACCTGGCACTCATCGAGAAGGTCGTCGGGCCCTTCCCGMGGGCGATGCTGAAAAAGGCCACCCAGAGGGAGGTCGTCGGGGAGGCCTTTGGCGCGAACGGGGCGCACAAGATGGAGCGCGTCCTCCCGGCGGACCAGCTGTCGTACGTGAACAAGACACCCCCCCTSGAATCGATCGTCGCCACCCACTACGAGGAGGACGCCTGGCTCCCGAGGCTCCTGCGCCGCATCCTGGTCATCGATCCGAACGAGCGGTCTACGGCGCGGGAATGCCTGCGGGATTTCCGGATCTAGATCGGGTCGACCGGGCACGGGAGAGCAATCCACCTCCCTGTCAAATGCCGCGATCCTCGTGGGTTCTGGGTGGGATGTCGGGAACGAAGAACATGCGAGAAAAATGTCAAGACATTGATCGGCTCCTAGAAACTCTGCTGAATCAAAATCTCCTTTGGTATTTGGGGCCAGCAAAAGCATCACTCATAGGTTGCAGAAAAAGAAACATGGTTTTCAACTTTGTCACAGAATCAAAAAGCTCGATCGCTGGATTGAAATGACGCAGTGTAATTTTTGATACTGCTATCGTGGCAAAGAATTTGATCAAGAACATTCCTATTTTTTCCTTGATGGGGCATTCCGAAGCTACCTCTCACATGGTGTTTGATATCGAGCTTGAAACACAAATGTGGAAATAAAAGAGATCATTTGGAAATACTGTAGCRAACCAGAAGAGTTTTGAAATAATTTTCAAAACTAATGGGCTGAAGAGGAAAGTATCCATCTCAAATACTACCACATCCCCTAAACCACAAATTCCTATTCCACGTACTTTAAAAACTTCATGGAATAGCTTCCCAGTCTTGTCATYACTAGTGCAGTGTTTCCATTACAGTGGTGGTCTGTCATTCTAAACTATAGGTTCACAGTGATTTATCAGATATCAMACAACAGTGTTCATTTTAGATAGTAGGATTGCGATCATACTGCGCAGTTGGGGGAGGCTAGTACTTTCCTGTCACCCTACCAATCCTAGTAGCAGTTATTTTGYTAGAGAATCCCTACTACTACTTTKTACATGCTGCTGGTAGGTAATTTATAAGTTTCAATGATCCAATGGGCAAGAATTTTGAATTTTCAAGGACTTGGGACGATTTGTGATTTCAAAATTGAATTTTTYGAATAATTTTGCACCAAATCAACATGCAATAAATGAAGTCCCTGCTTGGTCCATTTATCACCAGTCCTACAAGAAGGATGCTTGYTGTTCCTATAGTATCATGGGAGCCAAAAAATAAGGAAAAAAACCAAACATGCAAGATCAGTGCTGACAGCTCACCAGTGTTGACCCATCTCTAACTTGCAATTATAGTCAGAGTACAAGATTACATGTATGTTCTTAGTGCTACAACTATAGCAGTTGTCTGTCAAGCAGCTAGTGCTGGTGGTGGCAGTTTGAGCACCACTGCTGCTACTAGTACTACAAGGGGTACTGGAACAATGCCTCCACCACACCTGGGATTGCACACACTTACTACCCACAAGCAAAATGCAGTAAAACCACCCAAATTGATTYACACCTCCAGAATTTGTTAATCTATATGATCCCACTCTGTCTGGACCACCACCAGCAGTGGTGGTGCTGACAAGAACTACTCTACTAGACTAGTTTGCCTACTAGTACTACTAGCTAAATAAAATACCGGTTACAGCAAATCAGGCTGCAGCCCAACAGCATTTGGCACCCAGATCACCCAGGATCTAAACGCTAGTAAATCTAGTATACTAGTACTATTAGGTACTACTAGTAGTAATAAGAMTGGCAAGCTCAACAACAACAACCAGCAAGCTCAGGATTTCATGAAAGYCAGCACGAAAGAGGAACAACAACAAGAACAAGAAGTGATTGATCATGGCATTGACAATCAGATCCAGCAGTTCTTTTGTTCTTCTCATCCATCTCCATTTCCTGGCTTCAATGTGCTACAACAAGAAGCCAACAGCCAATCCAACAAGGTATCTCTCAACAATCTCTCAACAAAATAGGACACCGCATCTGATGGGACACTGCGGCAGAAGTTTTACTTCGTGCTTTMATTTTTGGCGCGCCTTGTCAAATGCATCCATCTCCTTGTCATCAATCGGCTTCTTCCAGCCATGAATCTACGAACATTTTTTTTGAAAGCATGATACRGTAATCTCTTCTCAATTCTGAAATTTGATCGAAGACAAAAACGAAAGCCGGTACGAGCTACTGAAACAATAAACACAGTAATCAGTCCATCGATACTGTACGGTAGAACTCTTTGTAACAGCGACTATTAGTAAGATAACCAAGATCATGGCCGAAAAACCTATTTCGCAAAATGGCAAAACTGATATATCCATGACAGACCCATCAAAGTTTCGACCATCACCTCCAGCATTTCAATGTGGAGAGGAGTTGCAAGAAGGCGGTGGGACCATTGGGAAATCTGGAGTGTCATTCTATTGTAGCCTTCCACAAGACGAAAAACGTCTGACCTTTAGCTGTAGAGATCGGTCGGTTGGTGTACTAGAGAGCAAGGAGTCGGCGATAACAAACGACGAGTTTGATGCGACACAAAATGCTTGTGCGATGGACCCTTTTTTCTTCGACGAGGGCTATACATTGGCTGGTCGGACAGGGTTTCAAGTTTGGAGCGTAAGTGAACACATYGCACTTCTTCGTCCCTTCTTTATCTCCCGGTGTCGAGTCTCACAATTCACAATTCTTCTTTTGGATGTATGCCGTAAGGACCACGCAGGGAACTAGATTAATGATAGAATCTCTCTTATTCCCCTTACCTGATGACAAGGATCGATTGGTCGCTATCCAAAAAGAAATCAATTCGGCGGATGGAAAGAATATTCTTGAACTAGGAGCGGGCGTTGGAGTTGTAGGAACTGCTCTATCTGCTGCTACTAGATGTCGAGTTTTGTTGACTGATTTGTAAGTGGATTAGTGTGAAACTTGAGAAGTAAAGAAGTATTGTTGTGGCCGTTACATTTTCTCTTATTCCTCATTCTACAATATAGACCTACTCTGGTCGAAAACTCGTTGTTACCAAATCTAAAACAGAATCGAGACGAATCGAGAGTGGAGGAAGCTACGAACGAGACTTCATGGCTGTACAAAGCTTCCTCCAATATTGAATTCGAAGAGGAAGAGGATAACGAAGACGTTGTTTTTTCACTGGGCAATAGGGGTGGATGGGCAAGTATTGCCACCATCGATTGGACGAAGMCTTTAAATAAGGAAGTGTCGTCGGTTTCTTCATTAGACTGGATCGTTGCAAGTGATTGCGTGTGGCTGGTTAGTATGTTGGACTCTTTGCTGGACACCGTTGATTCATTGTTTGGTTTGAACCCCCGCGCCCGGTTGATATTAAGTTTTCAACGCCGGGACGCAGGGGACAATGTTAGATTTACAAGTGTTCCGAGCATTCTTGGCAGTGTTCGAAGGAGAGGTTGGTCGATTGATTGCCTGGCCTGGAGGCACGTTCGACAAGAAGGAATGACCGAGCCACAAGAGGTATTTTTGTTCGAAATTGTACCTGGCTCAAAGTAGTGCTCGAAGTCATTATGAGCAGAAAAGATACTACAGCAGTGATAAATCTTGATTRATCTGGAGGAGCACAAAGAAGTCCGCATGATGCTGTGATCGAGACCTTTCAAAATCGCACGATATTTGTCACAGTTATATTTTGATTTCAACATTGGTAAAGAAGTTTACATTAATTGTAGTTATGATGTTGACAACCCGTAGCGCTGCTTTTCAAAATAAAGAAATCTATTCATCATTTTTACTCTTTTTCGCTCCCGAATTCTTTCCTTCGTCCTTTACTTTGCGTTTCACACCTTTTGTATCGCCGTCGTCATCACTTTTTTCGCTGGCAAGTTTTTTCAATTGCTTTGCCTCTTTCTTGCTCTTGGCGATGTCGTCCTTGAGTTTTCTCAATTGATCTTCGAGAGCTTTCTGTTCCTCCTGGCTCTTGAGAAGCTGATCTTGAACGCCTTTATCCGCGGAAGACATTCCAGCACCGGAAGGACCGTTTCCAGATCTGTCAGCCGATGATTGATTTGGATTGTTGGATCCTCCGGGATTTTGCATCATTTGGTGGCTTCCCATTCCCATATTGTTATTCCCACCCATTGATCCCCCTTGGTTCATTCCACCAGAATTATACATTCCATCCATGCCACCGCCATTGCCACCACTTTGTTGTTGAACCATCAATGGCATATGGTCGTTTCCTCCAGAATTTCCTGCATTATCATTTGTTTGATGCTGCTGGAGTTGTTGTTGCTGCTGCTGGAGTTGTTGCTGTTGATATAAATTCATCATTAATGTTGTCTCTTGAATCTCGTTTAGCAGGTTCATGTGATGGAGTTTCAACATCCTGGAATTCGAAGTCAAGGTTTGAAGAAAAACATTCAACCAGCGAAGAACACAATGAGATGCAAAATGATTTAAAGGCACAAACAAAACAGTATTTGCGAGTTTGCTTCGCAATCGCTTGCAGAGAGGCGACAAAACTTACTCATAGTGCCTTTTTAATGATATGTGCAATAAAAGGAGAAAATAATGCAATCCAGTGAGAAAATTGCAACGAAAACCATTTTAATCGTTTCGATCTTGAACGAGAAGGATACTCACTGATTAGGATTTACTGATAGACCCATCTGAGGCATGTTGGAAGGTCCACCACCCATGCCACCYAATCCCAAACCGGATGCTCGACGCTGCTGTTCTTCCCGCTTTTGAGCATAATGATCCGCTCGAGCAGCTTCGAAAGCAGCTCCGGGACCGCCCCCAACGTACGGTCTGTGTGGAGGCTCGCCACCGTTATTTCCTGCGTCTAAACCCAAAGACGGACCGATGGATCCGATGGAACTTCTGCGATTCATGTCATCATTCAACATCGAAAGTCCCAAAGACGAAGTTCGGCGTTGCTGCATCAAATTATCCAAGTCAGCAAAACCCATGCCCAAACTATCTTTTCTATTTTGTAGAGCAGACGAAGAGGGAACAGCTGAGGCGCAAATCAGGAAGAAAAAATTCTCGGGCGTTAGTTCGGCGGATTGGGTAAGAAGAATGTTTAAGAAACYAACCAATCATTACTTCATCGACGAACGCAAKCTTACCGGAGGATTTCTTGGATAACGGCGCTTCCTCCTCCTCACCAGCCTTCCTCCCAAGTCTCCCGCTTACGACACGTACTCCTAGACGTTCTAGTTCCTGCATCACCCACTCACGACTAGGTTTCGGGCGCATTGTAGACCGCCAAGCCCTAGTCAGAGCCTTTGCACGCGCGCATTTCTCATCAGCTTCTTGAGAGGGAAATGTACCAAGAGCAATAGTCTTTCCAGCCCACTACGTGTCGAACGGAAATAAAGTAGAAGTAGTTACGAAAAAACAAATTTTAGAAAAAAATGAGAAAATAATTCAGTTTTGGTCGCGCATGGGCGATGAACAAAAAACTGAAGAACATCTTCTTCAGCCCCCCCCAAATGCAATTCTAAGCTGTAGTTTTCAAAATTATTCTTCACGTGAAGAACGCGTAGAAAAGGAAATAACTTTCACACGCGTTCGACTATGTCCTTTAGTGTCACTCCACAGAGGAATAATGAACGCCCTAGTGTACACTCGATGCCCAAAGAACCTCAAATAGACACACGTTTTGGTACAGTTTCGGAGACCCAAAGTACTGAACTCTCGTAGAATCTACACGTGAAAAATAAAGTTTGCGATGACCGAAATGAAGAGAAACGGAATGTCGATGCCTCGATGCCTTTCAACAACACCCTTGACCCAATGCCACAATGACCTCGACCCACAAAATATTTCAATACCGAATGGTAGACTCATATTTTTTCTCTCACCTTAACATGAACTGCTTTTTTGCCCGTTGCTGCAGCTGAACCTGTTCCGGTTGCATTTCCTGCATTTCCATTCAACTTTCCGTCGTTGTTCATTATTATCCTATTGCACACCTGCTGTGGAAAGTACTATCGTAGACAACCAATAAGATTGTTACGGTCGATTGGGACTGCTATTTTTTCGTCTACTTTAGTCAARTCTGAAGACCTCTGCGAGCTGGCTAAGCAACACCCCGGATTCGATGCAATTTGATAATGGGTTCTTTCGACGATTCGTAGCAATGATATTCGCTGTAGTGATTTATGTTTGGCGTTTGCATTCCACCATTTGCTGTGCTGCGGCGCCGTGTTTACACTCGCGTTGAGCTGTCTGATGGACAATTTTCATGCGAAAAATTGACAGCCAACACCTGATGCTAGGTTCGATTACGTACGTACTTCTACTACGGTAATGAACCGAACGTTACAGACTGTTACAGTACTCGTACGAGTACTAAGCATACTAGTACTGAATTCCAATGCAAGCAGGATGCGCACATCGCGCATACACGACAGGTGACTAGAAACAATTATTAAACGTAGTCTTACGTTGGAGTATCGTACCTTGTGGCATAGGTGTTCATGATTCATATCGTGCCAAAAGTAGAAGTTTCAAGACTACGGCATTTCRGCGTTCGTTTGGGTTTGAGGATAATGCTACCGTACTATTCGAGAAACAATCAAGCAATCTGATTGGCTGATAGTAAGAAACAATAAATAGGAGAGCCAATTCGACAAAAATAGTATTCCGAAGAAGTATTTCTTTTTGCTGATTAGCCAATATCAGTGGTTACAACTTGAGCATTTCCAAAGTGTTACCTACTGCAGATCCTCCTCCCCAAGTGATTACTGCTGGTAGTAGCAGGGATGCTATTATTATATTACTACTATTAGTGATAATAGTTGCAAACTGCTGCTGGATAGTAAGAGGCTTCTACTGGTGGTGCTATTAGTATTGCTAGTAGTACTAGTAGTACTAGTAGTAGGTGCAAGAAGGCCCTTGTTTCGTCCACCAYCATTCATCCCAGTCTACAGGGTAGTACTATCTGGATCTGCCTATCCAAGACTTGGCCGGCAATTCCTCCTCCTTCCCATTTGGATTTGGTTTGCCTCTATAATCAGGCTGTATGCCCCTGAACCATTCATTGATTCCTATGATGGGGTCTCTATTGGAGAATGCAAGAAGGATGGTGATGGATGATTGGATAATTTTACTATACCATGGATGTTAGCAAACCTTGCAACCCACCTAAGATTTATACTCCTATTACTACCCCAGACCCTCTACTCTAGACCCTCATCCTCCACCTGCTCTGGAACTTCAAGACACCCCTCTTCTTACTCCCTCTATGGTACCACCAGATGACAAAGAAATTATCTGGCTCAATTACAATGAACTAGTGATTCCACTGGGGGTGAAACTTTCTGTAGCCTTACATTATGGCGTCCTCGCTGTTTTTTACACGATGCTAATGTAATTTCCCCTGGACAAACAATGGCAGTCATCAATTTTGGGGGACAAAAGTGCCCAACTACAACTGAAGCTGCAGGAACATGTTAAAAGGAGAAACAGGATCAACTTCGACCCTTAGTCAACATCGAACAACAACCATCGTAACACATTCCGTATAAAGTGTGATAACAAAGCAACACTTTCGTGCCTTGACAACTCAGTTCTCTTACTGGAACGCTTTACTACCCTTATTCAAACACGGGATGGCCACAGMAAACGGAGAATTGCTACAACAGTGTGATGAAGTTTTCAGGAGGAATCTCTCTGGCGCAAGAATATTATTACGGTCAAAATTAAGTTGTATGATTCGATTTCATCTTCAATTCCCACCGAATGCACATCCTCAGGCCCCAAAACCCTACTCTGCGTACATCTTCATCGCAATACCTGGACARAAGTTCCATCTATCCATTGCGACGAAACATTGGAAGAAATTGTTCACATAGGTATTGYGGTATGTTTTGCCTTGATCACTTAGTGGCCGTTCCTGTCGCCGCAAGACGCTGCACAACATTTCATAACATAGCTGGATGCCGTCGACAAAAYCAGAGGAATCGGTTTGAGCGTATTATTTCCAAGTTCACCGAATCCTGCTAAATTTTTCGTTTCAGAGAAATCAATTCATATTTCATTTCATACTTTATTTCGTCTCATCCCATCCAGATTCGTTTCGTTCGGTTCTATTCAATTCTAAAAAATGTTAATCAATTCAAACCAACTGGTAGGGGCGGGTTCGGTCGTCATTCCATAATATATCACCGCGGGTGCAAAMGTATAATACAGCAGCGTCTTCGATCGCTGGAAAATGTAGTCGATATCGAATGCGGCCGACAGCAACGMGGTTGGCGAGAGGGCCGCGAGGCTGCCTCCCTTGGGTTTGCGTCTTCTCGGAACCGGCATTTTGGTAGTCTTGTTTCTTTGCTAACGCACACGATGCGAATAGGGGGGAAGTCGATGAGCAACGAGGAAAAAGGATCCAAGCAACGGAACGCACAAGAACGTCTTCGGCGGTGCTGCCTTCACGCAGCAGGGCTCAAAGTTCCGAAACAGCAACGCCCGAATCGGAATGGGTGGCAACGCGCTTCTGCACACGCATGGATTCGATCCAAAACGATCAGCGTCCGCTGTTGCTACTTATATAGCAGCCTTCGTTTGACTTGTACGCTCCAAACATACATACCTTGGTCGGGAGAAGTGATCGTCGAGTAATGAGCACTACGGTAGACACTTTATTCTGAATAGAAGATCGCYCGAATTCGTGCTCTCAATCCGTTTTGCGTTTTGCAGCTCTCTACTCGTCCCGTACGGTCCAGAGATACTACTTACCAGTTAACTCGTACCGTAGGCAGAAAATCATGAACCGTACATTGCTGTATTAGTTGTTCCTCGCTTTTCGAAAGTTTCTTTTTTTCTCGGCTACCGGAGCGGTAGTCTGTCCGTACCTCGCAATGTTTGACCAGATCGACTCMTACATCACCACCACACATGATTCATTCATTCATTCAGTTTTGTGTCATRTCAATCAAAATCGAAATTCTTGAACTTGGAAGTCTCTGCTGTAACATCCTCACMGTTGCGTTCGTACGAGTTTGCCGCTTGCGTTCACAGCACCGAGCATTGCCGCTCTCTAACAACCGGACCTTCCATATTGACAAGGACCGCTGGTGGATAGATCGAGCCGGAATACGCCATGTTGTTACTGCAACCGATTTAAAYAGCATGTCGACGATTCTTTCATTCCACAAAAATCATCGCAAGCTAGTGCTAACAACGGCAGCCATCGCTGCCATTTTGACAGCCGGAATACTGACGACCGATGGTCGTTCGAACTTGTATTGYGACGCATTTTCTACCGAACAAAAGTTCCAGGGAAAGAACGTGGACACTGGATTGTCTCGATCTTCGATCGACAAAGGTATTGCTTCGAGAAAATTTGGCGGTGTTTTTTTTCAGAGCGGTTTGCAGCCAAGAATGAATGCTATAACTGCCAAGATGGCTTCCTCGGACGAGAATATGCAAACGGCAACGCCGACAAAAATGGAGGGCGAACACGACACAACAGCACGAATCGAGCCGGCAACAACGATCGAGGAGAACTKGGGCGACGGGACAAAGGAAGAATCCAGTGATGATYTTCCCTTCGACATGCTTGCCTGGAAGACCTACGAACCGTTAATGGAGGATATCTTGATGCAGCGACGAGCCATCAAGAATGCCGACCCGGAWACGATTGCAAAGTGCCGGGCGTTTCTGCTGAACAGCAAAYCCTTCTTGGCACCACTTTTGGATGTTTCGGATATTGTCAGGAGCAACCCCGGTCGCAAACGGGAGGCATTGGAACTGGCTCTCACCGAACAATCCGAGTTGTTTCGACAGCGCTTCGATTTCACCGAAGAGGAATACCAGTTCATCAACAGGTGCCTTGTTTACATGGGAGACGCGTGTGCAAAAGAACAGTCAAAACAGAACAGGATCACAAATCGCGATGGCAACGATGATAACATTGATCCTCGGTTCCCAATTTATGTTGTTTGGCGCAAGATCAAAGAAATGGGACTGTTGATACGAGAAAAATCACTTAGCTCATACATGTATATCCTCAGTTCTACTGCGAAACATGCGATCGGAACCGATGAAAACGGCCCCGCCAACACAAACGATGACTTTATAGAAGATACCCTCTTGGAAGTAGTTTCGTGGCACGACACAATCTACGCCCCAAGTGAAAAAACACTGACAATTCGATTGAAAGGATTGGTCGCGAGAGGGAAAATCGACGAAGCCGAGGAGATGTTCGCTGCAAGTTTCAATGGTAGCGATAACGCCACTTCCGCGACGGAGTCACAAGAAACGACAGAGTCGGACGGCAACGAAAACATACAAGGGCGGTTGCGAACCTACATGCCACTCATGGAGCACTATTGCAAGGTCGGTGATTTGAAGTCCACCCTGAGGTTGTACCGACAAATGCAGAAGTGCGTGGGTGTACACTTCGATGTGGAATCCTACACCATTTTGTTGTCGTCGCTGGCCAGATTTGGGTATTTCTTTGATGSCAAACCGCAACCAGCGAGCCATGGACAMAATGCGAGCGACGACGACGACGACGAYGAYCAKGACCGCAACCTCTACGGACCAAAATTGTTTGATTCTTTGGTGTCGGACATGGCAAATGATATTTTGGAGCTMACCGAAGCGACTGCCAACGAACTCGCCGAGGCATTCCGAACGGGCATCAAAGAGCACTTGGGAGACACTTTGATCACCGAAGAGAAGGTCGAATCAGGACCATCTGCGAAATCCGTCATTCTCGATCGGGTCGAACTTCCAAAAGGGAATGGAACCTGTCCCATCACCGGTGTGAAACTTCGTTTGTTGGCGTTGGACGAGACGCAACGACAGCACGTCCACGATACGTTGCTAGAAATGTCAAAAAAGAACACAGAAGAATTCCTAGCTTCAAACATTAAGTGGCAGGAGTCGATCAAAGAAACAAATCCTGGAAGGCCAGACAATATTCAGACGATGACATCAAAGATGGAAGAATCCTACGGATACCAAGAGCTACGGAAGTTCTCGGAATGGCTAGAGTGAGTTACTGTACTTGGCATTTTGATATCGTTCAAGTCATTCTATGTTGCCTTTTTGGGAACGTCAACGTTTACGGAAGTTTATGTTGATTTTGTCGCTACCSGTACCCCTAACAGCTCTCTTTTTTCCTGATGTTTTCGTTTACTAATTCTACCAACGTCATCGCTTTATCGTAGCGATCGAAAGGGTAATCTATTTACGACGATAGTCGGTAAGTTACTGTGACATACCAAAACTTGATTGTATGTCGTTCTCTTCTTTTCTTTTTGATCTAATGGCTTGATTGTCTTTTTGAATCCAATACCAATAAAAGATGGTGCAAATGTGGCTTACTACGGACACAGCAATGTTCATTACAGTTCTCTGAAAAAAGTTGTTGAAACGCTTGAGAGCATGGGAGAACGACCTCTTGTAATAATGCCCGAAAAGTACACAGCCAAGAAGTTTTATGTGAGACCAAGATACTATCAGAAGTTATCAGAAAAAGATCTGCAGGTGATTGATTGGTGAGTTTGAATTCAGAAGTCTTATGGAGACGCCAGAGCCATGAAATGGATTGTTCTAATATTGTTTATGCATATATATCAAATCTATTTCGTGAATCCAAGGCTTCGAGAAAAGGAAATAATATACGTCGTACCTCGATTTGTTTTGGATGATTATTTTTGGATGCTAGCCAGCGTATCAAACCAGACCAACGCTGCACAGCACGGAGATCTAACAATACCCATAGGAGACGACCAAGGTAGATTCCCGGGAATGCGACCATTGCTAATTACAAACGATCAGATGAGAGATCACAAACTCGATCTCCTGGAACCTCGCGAGTTCAGACGTTGGTGCAGTTGCCAYATTGTCAACTATGACATCGGAGAATACGATGAAGACGAGTGGGAGGATGATAGAGAAATCTCTTTGTCTCCTGCTGATTCCTTCAGTCGAGAGATGCAACCAAACATGCATCCCAATGGAAATGGGAATGTGTGGCATTTTCCGATTGGAGATTCATCAGAGTGGCTTTGCATATCAATTGAAGTATGAAATAAGTTCAAATAAATATGGAATTTATTAGMCTCGTTTTAATATTCAGCTGCACCTTTCTTTGTAGGTATACGTATGCACATGCTTTCGTTTTCATCCCAATCTGTGACAGGAAAATGCCAAGTGGTGCCATTTTCATCTGAATTTCCTTGAATTTCACGACTATAAAAATCGGCAGTCCTAAATCCAATTTCCCTRTCAGTGCATTCGTCATTAACAAAGGCAGAGAATGTRAAGTTAACAAGAAAGTTGCTATACCATCTCCGAAAGAGACGTGGCTCAAGCAACGACATTTTGTGATCTCGAAGTTTGTCGTTGGAAATGAGCATCGGGCGGTTGCCGGGCCATCTTCCTTCTGCGTTGTTGGGTGGCACGAATTCTTCGTCCATCGAAACACTTGCGAACATCCAATAGTAGTCGTCTAGGCTTCCAACAGGAACCACACAAGCCTTTCCCTTAGACAAGAGATCGTCTCGGATCTGTTTTTCCTCGAGTGATAGCGTTTGTTTMACTGTTCGACCGCCTACTTGTATCGTGAACGAATCGTAGGTGTATTTCTTTGGCAAGACAACCAAAATTTTTTCCCCCATATTTTCTAGTGCATCTGCCACAAACTTGATCTGATGGTAATTGAAGGTCCCTTGTTGAAAGTTTTGCATGTAATAAGCTATGTTTGGGCCGTCAATAATTGCAGTGAATGACTTGCCATCCTTTTTTTGCAGCCAATCTCCGAATCTTTTTAACTTTTCTGCCACATCTACTTTTCTTGCATTGCGATGGCGTTCTTGGTAYGACGAAGATACAAGGTAAAGCAGACCGTCTCGAAATTTCTTCTTTTGGGCAGAATCTAGATTGATCAGTCTCAATTGAGATCCGCTCCTAGCACATTTTCCAGTGGTTTCGTCGATTCTAACACGACTCGCAATTAGCTCATCTGGTTTCGCAAGATCGTTTTCTACTCGAAGAGACTCAAGTAGATGAAGCTGCTTTAGATTTGTTCTTGAATCATGGCCTTTGAAACCACGTTGAAATGCGTTGTACAATCGCTTGGTCGAYGCAGATGTAATTTCGACGGAGTGTTCTGCGAGTTCCGATGCCAACTCATTGAACAATTCTGGCCCAGACTTTACCGAGTAATGCAGGTTTTCGATATCACTGATTTCTTCTGCACCCAATCTTTTCGTGAGGATTTTAAGTAAAAAAGTATWGTGTGAGATTCAATACAYTTGTGACACCACAGATCTCAATTTTCTACTCGATAACACGTACCGAAAATATCCATTTTCTGCGATGCCTGCAATAAGTTGAACGTAAGTTTCTGTTTGCAACAGTACATTCTCAGCATCGCTCATTTTGACAAACAATTTGAATGCCGAAGMTATATCTCCTTGATCCAAATATGATTGATAAATCGGGGCATACGTACGTAGGCGGAGATCGTCACTTTTCTGTCAAATCAGACAACGATCCATGTGGACCATTTCACACGACAATGAGAAAGTAYGATAGRGGAAGATTCTGTTTAATTTATTGCTGAATGGGGAAGATAAAGATTGAAAGTTCGGAACGATGAACTTGCAACTCTAGTGTCAAACTTACCATAGTTGCTTCCAGGAGTCTCTCTGCTTCGTTTGCTTTTCCCAAATGGACAAGCCTCCGTACGTGWATACCTGTCGGTCATCGAAGAAAAAAAATTTGAGACTGATTTCGCACCAGCCAACCAGGACATTACGAGAACAAATGTTTCCACAAATGAACCCGTRAAATGATGTACTTACCTATGCTTTGTTCGGTCGGTTCATGGAAAAAATCGTGGCACAGAGCCACTTCCGCCGAAACATCGATTCCGTCTTCTTCAATCTCCTCTTCATCGCCATCCACATTGGAAGGCAAAGTCGATGTTCCATTTAGCAAATCCAAGGCAGATAGTGACGATCCATCTTCACCGCTCTCGCTCAGATAATCATTTTCGATTCTCTCCTCACCAACAAACCATCCCAAATTTGGTGTTGCCTTGTTATTTGTCGAGATATTTCTTCTTTTCGGCAAAGAAAATGTAGACGAAACGTATAAATAATTGTGAAGAACATCCTTATTCCTCATCGGATACCCCATTTCTTTCAATTTAGACCAGGCAACGTCGAGGGGTGAAGCCATGCACCGTTTTGCGCAGAGACCCCCCAGCGCAACCAATGCTCCGGAGGCGACGTCATATTGTCCTTTTGTCCAACCCATTTCCGTTGTAAACCGTTCTTTTTGATCGCTTAATTCTTCGCGAAAGCGTGCACTACGATCTGCACTCACGTCTGCTATCGTAGCATTTGTTATTCCATTTCTCTTTTCATCAATGGYAATACCATTCTCAGCGTGTGTTGCTTCCACTATTTCATCTTCTCCCTTTAATGCGTTAGACAATGTTGGTAGACGAGTTTCGATAACTGATACTTCAGACCGAAGCCATTCCACGATTTGTTGTATTTGACGATTCCTTTCTTCGTTGTTGTCGTCGTCATTAATCGTTTTCTTCTTTTGTAATCGTACCAAAAACTTAGGGCCTTCCATTATYTCTTCGAGGAGTTCATTGTATTGATCAAACGATTCGTCACCACTTTGTGTAAAAGGATGAAARCTTACTCSATCTTCGCCATCGGTTGCAGCGCCACCGTCTTTCGCGKTAGCCCGAGAAATCGGTGGAAGAGGTGAAATGATGTCTGCGATCGACGGGCGAGTTTCTATTGATGGCATAGATGCCTTCGTCCATCCCTTCTCCTTTATTTCCTCCTTTTCTTTTTGATTGCGTTCCATAAGAGCGTCGACCTCGTCGAAAAAGGACCCCAGGCCTGGTGCCGGAGCCTCTCGCATCGTTGGCCTCGACTGCATACGGTTGTTGTTGTTGTTACTGTTCCGTTGCTGGTCACGCCTGCGCTTGTTTTTGCGTTGTTGTYCGCCCTTCCCATAGGGTCTCGTCCTTGAGATTCTTTTCGTTCCAAATTTTGAATTTGATTCTTCTGTGCTTTGTTTCGCTAAATCAGAAAAGAATTCGTCCAGTGTCAATCTTTTCGAAGATCCACTGGAGGTGGTGGCTCTAGAATAATAATTGTTGTGGTCACCGTTGCGTCTTCGATTTTCGGGAGCTCGTTTCGACATATCTCCAGGATTTCGATTTACTGTTGTAGTATTTCGATGCCCACTGCGCTTTCTATTCCTCTTTTCATTCTTGCCCTCAAGTGCTCTCAAAAAGGCAGTTTTCTGTTCTATCGCATCGTGGCTTTCGTCGTCGTTTTCGTCTCTGGCCCCGTAATATCGACACTGCTCTTTTCGGAAAAACGATGGCTCTGTCGCTGYTTTCCGTCTTGACACTGAAATGGATCGGTCGACGCCAGAAACAGCAAGAATTTGGCGTCGAGCAAGGCGTGGATAGGAGTTGACGGTCCTGCCACTGGCGCCGAAGGCTGCCAAGCGCCGAGCCAAAGGAAGAAACTGCTGCCTCCCGTTCATCAGAAAAAAATATATACCGCAGTGTTAACCCTATTTCAAAAAAAGTTCTTTCTTTCCCTATCTAGTGCCGTATTCTGACATTGTGTGGTTGTTTCCGAAATGCATCTCTTGGTTGTGTTGATTTGTTCAAAATACTTGCAGCATGATTGTTGACTGCAATCGAGTTTTCAGGTTAAATTTTGTGGCCGATAAAATCGAATAACGGTAGGTACAGTCCTTCGCGGAATTAGGTGTAAAAGATTTGGGGGAAAGATAATGAGTCGGGCACGAGGAAGTTGTCTTCGATTCGATCCCCTTTTGGGATTTTTTCAAACCAACTCAAACCAAAATCTGAGCGGTATGTAATCTTGTTCTGTTCTTGTACTCTCTGTATTACTGTAGTCCTACTACTTTGTACGCACCAAGTACTTTCTGAGGAACTAGTACTTCAATTTCTTCTCTAAAATCTTTCCTGAAAAACAGTTAAGGCTTTKGTGCTGCCTGTGATGTATGACTCTTTGTGGTGTCTCCTTCCTCAGCARTGAGTTAGTAGTTCTTGTTGTTGTCACTGTTAAGCACTTCTATTTGTCCTACTAGTAGTAGCTAGTAGTAACAAATATTTTGTTGGGATCTCCATTCCTTTGGAAAATGCTTTAGATCTTCAGCCATAGCCTTCAGTTGCAAGTGCGGGGGAAGTTACTTTCTGGTACTCTATGTATGGCAGGATTCTAGTGCACCTTRTGTATTATTTCGTAGTTAATACTAGTAGTTGTAATAGAGATGAGCACCCACACGACACGCACCACACTGTATTCTTTTTGCTGTTGTCHAAAGCGGTGCAAAAGCCGATGCATTGATGCATTAAGAACTATTGCARAAACAACGCAAYACAGTATCGTAAGTAAAATCATAAACTGCCTTATTGCATCGATGAGTTTCATAAAAGGGTGGCGTTGCAAAAGCTTTCCATGCCAGGCACCCTACCATGCTACTAAATACATCCACTGCTACAAAAGGGAGCGCAGGACGCAGATTCGACGTGCYGGACGCCCGGTGGAACCTTTGAGCGATTCCACGAGTGCTTCTTTTGTATCTAGATTGCACAGGAATGTTCCATCGACCGATGTGAGGATGTCTCCAAGCATGACTTTTCCTTCGAGTTGCGAACCGGATTGGACTGCCGTAACGACAAATCCCTTATCTGCTYTCKCGAATAGGATACCCAGCGAACCAGGGCCTGCCGTTACGGCGATTTTGGGTCGCATAACGTAGATGCGACGCTTTTCTTTCGATGCATTACGCATMATGTACTCTTGAAATTCGCCAGGGCTCAGAACACCCATGCGCTTCCCGTCGATGGACTTGAGAATGTCCCCGGGAAAAATTTTTCCGAYCATTTGGGAGTTTTGCCGGATACCAGTGACAAAATATCCCATCGRAACTTTTTCTATAGACATCCCTAGACTTCCGACCCTGGCAATCACACAGCGTATATGGTAGTGGTGGTTAGCATCGTCGTAATCGGAATCGTTGTCGGAATCGCACAAATCAAGGGTTATGGGTGTCCGTGGTGTGCCGGTGCCAWTGTTGCTTTCTATCACGCGCGRTTCCATCTCGTTCTTCACGGGGAGAATYGTTGTGGCTCTCGACTGCTCCTCTTGTTTCATGAAACTAAGTAGAACCGTTCCGCTCGCGTCGTGTCCCCCGTCCGAATCGTCCAACAGATCTACGAAGTCGCCGGTTTGCTTTGCGGCTTGCATTTTTTTCGCATTCTTTTCCTCCCACGTTTCGACCCCAGCGATCTCGAGATCCAAGACGGGGCGCTCGATGCCCAAGGCTTTCATGACCTCGTCCTGTTGCTCGCGAAGCTGGTTCAACACCGGCAAACAGGCAGCACGGCAGGCCAAGATTTTTTGCAGTCGAACGGGGTCGGYCGACATTCTGCTGTTCTGGTCTTCCCAGAGTATTGAATAGACGCTCGAAAGAGACACGGATATGCTTTCCTTGAGGAACCCGATGCTGTCGCCAAGTTTTTCGACCATGGACCGAACCGCCGCCAAGAGTTCGTTCATGCMTTTGTCAAAGACCTCGTTCACGGTTGGGACAGAACAGCGATGCATGGCGTCTTTCATTCGATTGAATGTTCCAGTTCCGCCCCGAACACCGAGTGCTGCAGAATACGACKTGTTCATTGCCTCTTGCACCTTGGGGAGCAACGATCGGTTCAGGTTGCGCTGGTCCTCCACGACCGTGTTTCGCATKGCCGCAAAGCAAGACCGAACATTGTTTTTGCAGTTCGTGGACGATATGGAAACCATGCGGGCGACTCTTTCCTTCTCGATGCCCGTCGAACAAAATCCGTTGAGAAGAGCCCGGTCGGTCTGGTTGCAGAGTTCCATCACCTTGCGCTCGCTTTCGGAGATAAGGTTGAGAACCGCTACGTCCATGATGCTCTGCCAGGCGGGGGTGAATTTGGCCTCCATGGGTGCCACGAGCTCGGCATTGAGATCAATGGCCCCCGCCGATGTCGATACGTAGACTCCATTGCGGCGAGCGGTGGCGCCGTACGTGGCGAAGTGCAGTCCGTTTCGGTGTCGGTTGCATTCGTGCTTGGTGCGCCTGCACTTCGAGCCCCAGGAATCGACGGTGGGCATGGCCGACGCCCGTGCCTTCCTTGCCCCCGACGCGAGAGACGGCTTKAGGGTGATCGCGATCTTCTGCTCCGCCTTGGACACAAAAGCGCTCGCGATCGGGTCTAGMTTTTTCGAGAAGGACTCCGTTTCGGCCGTGAATAGGTCCTTGCACCGGACTTTCTGTCGGGTGCTGCCGCCGTCCGACTTGGAGTCGTTCGCGAGAAGCCTGACCCTATCTACAATGTCGCTCGCTTGATTCACAAAGCTCTTGGTGAATTCGGCACGGCGAGATGCGGTCGCTTCGTGAACGTGTTCGCGGAGTCTTAGTATCTGTGTATCGACCGGGGAGGAGAAACAGTTTGCGGGGCCATCACTCGAGGGTTTGATCCTGCCAACGTAACGCAACAGTACAACAGTGCAACACACAGCACACAACCGCATGATATATATATATATATATATATATATATAGAGAGAGAGAGAGAGAGACAGAGATAGGTAGGTAGAGAGAGAGAGAGAGACCAAGGAAAAACGGTGAGCAGAGCACAACAATGCCTCCGAGAACATCCGCCCCTCCCGCATTTCCTCCCGCATACGTACCCCGTCACCTTCAGATAGTCGTTCGCGCTGATGCAAAAGACGGGCAGGCTCACGCCGTCCACGGGGATMGCGGGTCCCTCGTTCTCGTTCCGGTCKTCCGGAGCATCCTCGTTGGCGTCCCGGTACATCTCCTTCAGGCCCGCCACGAAATCCTCCTGCAGGCACTTGGTGCTGTACTCGTTGCGCACCAGCGCACAAATCGCCTTGAGTCTCTTCTGCAGCGCGCTGGTGTTCCTGGAAAGGRTGGCCACCTCGTTCCTGTGTTTCCTTCTCCACGCCAACAGCGGCTTCCTCGCTGCCTGGACCTCATGTTTCTGCTCGGCAATCCGAGCCTCCAGTTCCCGCACCAGGCTTTTGTCGACAGCCTTTGCCACCGGGCTTTGCACAAGGACATCGTCATCGTCGTCGTCGTCGTCGTCGTCGTCGTCCTCTAATTGAAAGTCCTCGTCCCAGTCGCTGTCGTCGTTCCCGGTGCCACCTCTGCGTTTGTTTTTGCTCGGGTTCTTGGCTTTCTCCAGCTCGGTCTCGGTTTCCTTYAGGGCGGTCTCCGCCTCGTCTAGGAGAGATTTTAGATCGCCTCGTTGCTCTTCGAGGTCCGAAAGCCGCCCCTCGTAGCCGTGGATCTTGTCCCGGAGGCGGGTCATTTTCTCCCACCGCCCCGRCACCCGGACCGCAACGTCCTCGTGGTCCCTCATGATCTCGGTGGCCTCGCAGTCGTCGGTCTGGGTGCAGATGAAGGCAATGTTGCCGTACTGCCCATCCATCAAGAGCCTTCGCTTGAATTGTTCCCCCATCAGTTCCTTGGCGGTCCCGTCGTCCACGGCACGCTTGATGGGAGCCACGACCCATATCCTGAACGCAAGCGACAACAAAGCAAGGCACGGACAAGAAACACAAAACACGAACGCGGACAAAAACAAAACAAAACAAAGCAAAGCAAAACACGTTGTGAGCACGCGCCACCAATCGCCAGAATCCTCGGTCTCGCTCTCTCCCACCAAGCAAAGCAAAGCAAGACGCACTGCACACTGCACAATGCACAATGCACACTGCACACTGCACAAGGCACACGCCACGCCAATGCCACTCACCGGTCGCAGTTCTGCAGGTACTTCTCCGAGACCCGGGCCCGTGCCGCGTTCGCGTCGCGGACCCCCGGCAGGTCCACCAGGACGGCCCCCGAGGACAGGGCGTTCCAGGGGCCCTCCAGGACCACGCACCGGATCAGCGGCCAGGTCTGGGCCTCCTTTCCGTTGCCCTTGCGGTAGACGTAGTCGTTGATCTTGGACCGGAAGGACCGGGCCCACTTCTTGAGGTTCCGGCGGGCCCGGAGGCCCATGGAGGCGTGGTCGCACAGGACGGTGGCGGCGGCCTCGGAAACGGCGATCGACCCCTCCTCGACGCAGACGGCGTTGTAGGGATCGGTGCTGCCCCGCCTGGGCGTCAGCAGCTTGACGACGCGCGGGTTGGTGGACAGCCTGCGAAAGACGGTCTCGGTGGGCTTGCCCCTCATCTTGAACATYGTTCCCCTCCCGTAGACCTGGTCGATCTTGGACCAGGCRGCGGCCGCATCCGGCATGTTGTCTTCCATCGGGCAGCGCTCGTAGATGGTCTTTTGCTGGGTGGAGCACTCGTCCACCAGGCACCTCAGTTCCGTGGTCCAGTCGTCCAGTTTCATAAACTCGACCCGTCCCTTGTAGACCGGGACCTTGGTGGTGTTCGGGGTGCCCGCTCCCTGGTCCGGAGCGGAGGCGTCTTGCTGCGYCTCTGCCCTTCCCCCTCTAAGGTCCCGGTTGTACCGGAGCTCCACCACGGCSGCGGTGCAGCCCCTCGAGCCGGAGGTTGGCAGGACGGCTGCCTCGTCCAGCAGCGCGTTGAGCAGGGAGGACTTTCCGACGCCGGTCGAGCCCAGGACCCCGATGACGGTCTCGGGGGGCAGGGCCCCGGCCGCGAGCCCGGCCTCGATCTCCCCGGTCCACTCCTCCCGGCGGGCGTTCGAGCAAA